CCCCAAAACCCCAAAACCCCAAAACCCCTGGTTCATTAGACATCATGGAAATTCCATTAGGTTGATGCTATTGGACTCCACCAGAGTTTGCCCTCTTTAATTCCAGATATTTCAAACTTGGCCTATCCGAGGAGCAATGTTGCCAGAAGACTCTTGAGCAAATAGCCTACTGGGCTATATTTCTGGACCAAGCCTGCTTCAACTTGCTTAGCCTTAGAGAAGTCTTATCTGCACTTCTGAGTTTCAACCTCATTCTCAACTCTGGGTTTGATTAAGGCACAAAATTTTGAAGCTTATCAAAGGAGAGGCTTCTTATGATTTACAACTCTCCTCTAGCAATGATGAGGTTTGAGAGACATGAACCTTGAGCTCCACAAATCTGCTTTAAATTGAACCCTAAATTTAGTAAATTTAAACATCCAAACAGAAGTTTGATGAATGTTTCCATGGAAATTCTGAATTAGAGAACTTTGGGTTTTTATTGTCGATTTTTTCTAACCGGAGACATCTCAGGTAAAATAAATACCAGATAAGAATACACTCTTAAAGTGAACCAAGGGCTTAGGTCTGGCTTGGAGTAGCCTCTCGTCTGCCTTAGACTTGTCAAGAGGAGTTTAACCATGCTCTAGTTATAAAATGCATGAAAATATCTTGCTATAGGTTACTGAGCAAAACTGAGGTTTTTTGATGCAAAATGTTTATTTACAATCCTAATTTAAGAAATTTTAGACCAAAAAAAGGCTCTTTTATGTCACCCAGAAAGAATGCACTAAATCTGACAACTCATGGTTTCATTCTGACCGCAAGATATAAGTCAAGAATTGGATACCAAACCCGGATGTATCAGGAGGTAGCATACAGATATCAGAATGTATTAAAGATTCCTTCCCACGTTATTGCCTATAAATAGTCTATTATAAGTTTCCAGACCAATCTTTGCTTTAAAAAATAGTTATTAGTAAGAATAGATTTTTGGCAGAATTCTGCAAAAATAGAATTTATCAGGGACTAAATTTATCCAATAAACAGATGCCATATTATTATTAGGAGATCTGAGATGGTGTGGGATAGCCTTACAGCTAGCAGTCATAACATTGTGTATAAATTAATTATCACATTTGATGTATTCATCCTCATTGTCACCCAGAAATTACAAAATGTCACATCTTGTGTTCATAAATTACTAAAAATATTTATTGAGAAATATGGGTCAAGGCTTAGAAATGCTAGAGAATTTTTCCTCAGAATTCTAATTTCAGCCTTAAACCTTGTCATTGTCAAAAGATACGAGAGATTGGGTGAGGGTGACTAATTTCTGGTAGAAATCTGACAAGCTTGAGATGGGTACGCCTCATTTTACTCTAGGCTGACGATTTATGGCTGAACCATAATCCTGGACGTCTCAAAGCTTCTTATACATTTTAATAAGATTTTGACCTGAAAATTTTCTTAAACTACAAAACTCCTTGTTGGCATATTTCAGCCACTCAGGAGCAAGTATTTTAGCAATCTCATAACGAAAAAGTGCTGCTAAGACATAATGGATATCTCCCAAGGCATGGTCTCTCTACTCACTAGCTCAGATCTGGGAATCTCATGAGGGAATTCCTTTACAGAATGAAAACTCGCTTTTAAATGTGTAATTTTGCAACAATTTTAAAGCCCAGAATTTATAAAATGTGGCTGATGAAGACACTCGGGCTATTACTGAAAGGTTTTAGCAAGAATATTACAATCGTTTAGGCTTAAAATTATTAATATACCCTTCAAGATCTTGTGCACGAGGGTCATCTGAGTTCTCAGCTAAGCACCTTCACAACGTCTGAAGGCAAGCAGAGTTCATAGCCTGTTTGAACTTTGACGTTGAGAAATTTCTTGCTGTATCTTGGAAAATTAACACTTGTTGTTTTATCCCTGCTTTGGACTTCATACGGATGGAATCCCTTAAACCCAAGATTCCTTTGGTGTAATCAACCAAATCTTTGGTGACTATATCGGCTGCAAGAAGTTGCTTGAGGGTTGCTTCAACGCTCTCAGAGATTTCAGTGGGTAAACAATTAACATATCTCTTCCTTATGATGGACTTATTGCGACTTTTGTAGAACTTCAAGAAGAACTTTCTCAGAAATCTGAGGGCGTTCCTGTATCTTGACCTCAACTTTGCATCAATAACTGTTGGAACAGTTCGCTCGTAGAGGAGCTGCAACTGATCACTATCTTGTTGTTGCAGAGTCATGTCTCTATTCTTGCTTCCCTGCTCGCAAGTGACCTGCATTGGCAAGTTTGTAGATGCTTCTTGGGAGAACTCAGACAGTAAAATCTCAAATTTTAAGAAATTAGATTTCTGATCAAATACTTCGTTTCTTCAATCCAAAGAGGGTCCCAAGTGAGAGGGAGAAATTTCTTGAACTTCTAGAATATCAGAACTCTCTTCCTCAAGATTCTCGTGTTTCAACATCTGATTAAAGTGCTTCCAGCTAAGGACAGAGAAGTCATCTCTCTAAACATATGGTAAACAATGAGAGTTTCAATTTGAAAGATCGAGTAATAAATGCTGTCATTACCGTATTCTCGTGTGCAACTGTAGCAAACACATTCTCAGGACTTATTCAGGGTAATTCAGCTCCAGTACTGATGAAGTCATTCTGCTCCATGCTCAAATCATCATTTAAACTAACAAATGGGGCGATCATTCGGGTTGTAATTTTATTTATAAACTAGGCTGACAATTAATAAATTTAATAATCATCCGATAAGTTATAGACTACCGGGGTTTTGGGGTTTTGGGGTTTTGGGGTTTTGGGG